CCCCAAGCTTCACCTTTGCAGCCGAATTTTGGGAAAGGGGACCTAGGATGGGTTTGTGGTTTCGGGAGGGGTTTGCTATTTCGGGAAGGGTTTGCAATTTATTGGGGGGTTTGCAATTTAGTGGGGGGGTTTGCAATTTAGTGAGGGGGTTTGCAGTTTCGGGAGGGATTTGCAATTTCTGGAGGGGTTTGCAGTTTCTGGAAGGGTTTGCAATTTTGGGAGGGGTTTGCAATTCCTTGAAGGATCTGCAGTTTCGGGAGGGGGTTGCAATTTCGGGAGGGGGTTGCAGTTTTGGGAGGGGTTTGCAAACCCTTCCATAAATTGGAATTTCGGGAGGGGTTTGCAGTTTCGGGAGGGGTTTGCAGTTTCGGGAGGGGTTTGCAATTTCTGGAAGGGTTTGCAGTTTCAGGAGGAGTTTTCAATTTCTGGAAGGGTTTTCAATTTCTGGAAGGGTTTGCGGTTTCGGGAGGGGTTTGCACTTCCTTGATTTACCTGGAACACAAAGACTTGCAAGGGCTCGCCTCAAGTGCCATTTTTCCCCATTTCTAACAGATTTCTGCCCATTCCTAACCCCTGCTCCCAGCTGCGCTGGCTGGCCAAAGGACCGAGGGGTAACAGGACCCCTGCTGCGTGACTGACCAACACACAGCACTAAAATCTCACCTGTGCCATCTCAAGAGACGCAGCTTTGCTGGTAATTCTGTTGGGAATTAAATCAACTGCATCAGCAGGATTTAGACCTCCAATTGGATCCCCATCTTTGGTTTTCTAGGATAAACGGGTGAGGGGCAGGGCCAGGCTGCTAACAATTTCTAGTCGGGGATTTAAGTGCTTTGCTACTGTGCAAAACTTCTGCAGAGTTCAGTCTCGGTTTTGGGTTCGAACCAACAGGATTTCTCATGTTCTTCCTACAAAACAAGCATTTCTCTTTCTGGTTTTCTTTCTCCTAACAGCCTGGCTCGTTTCTCCATGTTCTGGAGAAACAAAAGCGTTATCTTTCAATACGTTAATACACAGTTATTCTTTCTTTGTTTTAAATCTTCCTTCTCCGTTTGTAAGTGCAGCTTCCTATTGAAAAGATTGCTTAAAAAAAAACAACCAACAAACAAAAACCAAAATTAAATTAAAAAAAAACAAACAACCACCAAACCTGGAAAGGGAATAATACTTTGGTTCCAGCCCTAGTGCCAAATGATACCGATATGCACCAAAATGTGCAAAGATCTCGTCTCAAACACATAAAGGAAAGGAGCTCGAAGAAGCAGCTTGAGGTTGGCCATACTTCACTCCTATATACTTTGATTTACAACTGTACAGGTCCGTAACAACAGGTCCTTGCCCGCAAAAGGGGCCGGGCTCCACTACCTCCGGCCGGGCAAGTGGACGCCGTTGACCAGAGGCAGGAGGGGAGGCTGGAGTTCAAGTTGCGTTAACAGTGAGAAGTGGTCGGAGGGGATGTGCGGGTGGGGACACCCAGTGATGTTGTTGTCAACCAGCCACTGAGGGTCCAAAGGCCCCAGGACGCCCAGCACGTTCATGTGAGTGTTGGAGTAGAAAATGTAGTCAATCACACCCTGGGGAGAGAGAGAGAAACACCACAGTGAGGACACAGCTCGCTGCCGGCAACCGAATTTAGGGGAGGGACGTGTGCGGCGTCTGCTCTCGTTAAATCACCATCCAGGAGCTTAAAAACACCAGGAAACCACGGGAAAGCATCCAGCGAGTGTAGGAACCCGTAGTGACACCTTTTACAGCCAAAATTAAGGCAGGGTCCTGGGGAGCCCAGGCCAATGCCCGCCACGTGGGAGAAATCGCTGCTTACTTTGAAATCGAAGGTGTAATTGGTGTAAGGCATCAAGTTGTTCTCGTAGGCGCTCTTCAGCTGGAAGCCGTGCGTGATCCTGCCTTCCGAAGCCCCGTTCTTCCCGTTGCCGCTGAAGTTCATCAGACACTCGTTGTAACGCAGCTCCTTGAAGTCCTTGTGGTTGTCGGCCACTATGCCGTTGCTTAAGTACTCCACTACACCTGCAAGTAAAGGAAAGGGGTCAGGGAGCTGCTTTAACACGCAACGTTCGGGGAATTTTGGCCTTGGAGTTGAAATCTCAAATAGCAAGAGGATATCCAATGAAATCAGAAAAGAGTTTTCCACTTAAGGGTAATTCTGACACACAGCCAGGGAGCAGAGGCTCCCCACAAGGTTTTCTCTTATAAAGATGCTGGAGGGAGTGGAGCATCTCCTGCTGAGGGAGCTGGGGCTCTTGAGCTTGGAGCAGAGGAGACTGAGGGGTGCCCTCATTCCTGGGGATCCATTGGGAAAGGGCAGTGTCAGGAGGAAGGAGCCAGGCTCTGCTCTGGGATGGCCAATGGCAGGACAAGGGGCAATGGTCCCAAGCAGGAGCACAGGAGGTTCAAGCTGAAGATGAGGCCAAAGTTTGTGAGTGTGAGGGTTATGGAGCATGGCCCAGGCTGCCCAGAGAGGTTGTGGAGTCTCCTTGTGTGGAGACCCCCAAAGCCCTGGCCGTGTTCCTGTGTGAGTGCTCTGGTGATCCTGCTGTGGCAGGGGTTGCACTGGGGGAGCTTTCCAGGTCCCTTCCAACTCCTCATACTTTGTGATTCTGTGATTCCAGTGGTTTTAACATCATTTTTTGAGGCTCATGGTGAAATCACTGTATGTGTGTAGTGGTAAATATGTGACAGAGGGTGCCAGAGAGGCAGCTTTTGTGCACGTACCTATTACAGTACAGAATGCTTTAACTACTAAAGCAAGCCGGTTTCCTCAAAAAGTTTTCATGTTATATCAATTTATTTAAGACCTATTTGTGCTTTTCTACATCTTTTTAGGCATGACAGACCTTTCTGGAGCATGCAACTGCTGACAGAAAGCAGTGTGCTCAACCAGAGGATCTGGATTCTCTTCAGTTGATTTCCAGCTGTTATTAAGAAAGCTTTCACCCAGACCCAGGGAAGCACAAACCACCCCATCACCCTCAGAGGAAAAGAGGATTTTCTCAAAAAGGTAAGGTAAAAAATCAGCCAAAATCAGCCTTACCTGAATCAGGCAATGAGTTGAGATCCGCACACAGCACCAAAGGGATAGAGTTGGGATCTGCTGCTGGGCTACTGGGCCTGCTGGAGGCTTTCTCCAGGATGTTCTTCAGTTCCGAGACAAACATCATGGTCTGAATGAGTTTCACGTCGGAGTATTCGGGGTCCCAGTGCATGTGGGCATTGGCCACAATCAGCAGCTGCTTGTCCACATGAAGAGATTTCATACCTGGAGGAAAAAATATGTATTTTTATCAGAGAAAGGCTGCTTGTGTGAATGCAGCAGATATTCCCCACGTGGTCAGGGTGCAGTGAAGAACTCCACGTCAAGCAGATGCCTGTTGCAGGAAAAAAGGCATCACCTGAACCCCACTTCTAAATCAGCAGCATTTATATAATAATACATGACTAAATCTCTTCAATATAGGACAGAAAGAGCCAGAATCCAGTTGCTGGACAAACACTACAGCTGCTTGTAGTATTTATTTGAGAAACAGCACGCTGAACGACGAGGCATAAAGTCCCAGGCAGCTTCTTCCACTCCTGAGATGCAGATATCCTGCTGCTTTTGAAGGTTACACTGGAAGCAAGCGATCACAAAACCAGACACGCAGACAGAGCAGGGTGGCAGCCTGAAGCATTTTGAATTTGCCTGCTGAATCTGATCAAGCTTAATGAAAATGTGACAGTCAGTCAATCAGGCAGCATCAAAAGATACCCGGTAATCTCGTTCTTCCGCATCGAGACGTTAGCGCTGGGGGAGGATGGAGGGATTCAATCACAGAGGGTGGGGAAAGAGAGTTGAAAATAGAAGTTTTCATTAACAACAACTATGGGTAAGGGCGCACGCATGCAAACACACTGACCTTGGAAAAGCTCAGTTCTCCGAGTGTAATTTGGCAGAGTAAGTCAGGAGGGAGAAAAGTTTGAGAGGAGAAAGCTAAATATTGGGCATCTGGATGGGAGTGCAAGCAGCCCATGAAATCACGTCATTTGTGTCCTGTCCTAGCCACATTTTAAATAACCCCTAAATAATGGGCTATTATTTCGAGAATAACCCCATGGACGCTACAGACTTGGGGACGAGTGGCTGGAAAGGGCCTGGGGTGTTGGTGGACAGCAATGCCCATGAGCCAGCAATGTGCCCTTGAGCCAAGAAGGCCAATGCCATCCTGGGGTGGATGAGAAGGGGTGGTTGGAGGGCAGAGAGGTTCTCCTGCCCCTCTGCTCTGCCCTGCTCACACCACAGCTGCAATCTTGGGTCCAGTGCTGGGCCCTCAGCTCCAGAAGGACAGGAACTGCTTGAAAGAGTCCAGCAGGGCCACAGAGATGCTGGAGGGAGTGGAGCATCTCCTGCTGAGGAGCGGCTGAGGGAGCTGGGGCTCTTGAGCTTGGAGCAGAGGAGCCTGAGGGGTGCCCTCATTCCTGGGGATCCATTTGGAAAGGGCAGTGTCAGGAGGAAGGAGCCAGGCTCTGCTCTGGGATGGCCAATGCCAGGACAAGGGGCAATGGTCCCAAGCTGGAGCACAGGAGGTTCAAGCTGAAGAGGAGGCCAAAGTTTGTGAGTGTGAGGGTTCTGGAGCATGGCCCAGGCTGCCCAGAGAGGTTGTGGAGTGTCCTTGTGTGGAGACACCCAAAGCCCTGGCCGTGTTCCTGTGTGACTGCTCTGGTGATCCTGCTGTGGCAGGGGTTGCACTGGGGGAGCTTTCCCGGTCCCTTCCCACTCCTGACATTCTGTGAAATTAGCACAGCAAACAGCACTTGCTCATCTGTGAGTATTTGGTTGTCACCACCAATGGCAATAAAACCCTAGAGCGCCGCGTTACCCAGGTGGGTGATCAATAGAGCGCCGCAGCCGTACTCACTTGCTCCAAACAGTTCCTTGTGCACCTCCAGCACCACGGCCACGCCGATGTTGTCCTTCGTCATCACTCTGTTCAGCATCGCTTCCGACCCTTCCGAGTTGGCCATCGCCACCTGGTTGAACTCCACCGTGTGCTTCTGCACCAGCGTGAATCTGATTCAGGAAAGAGAAGCGCGTGTGAACGCACGGTCGTGGACAAGGTAAGGCAGCACGTTTCTCTTGTTCTCTAGTTTTATAAAGCAATAAGAGTCCTAAGAAATATCCCCCTGGTCAGGGTAGGGCTCTTGGTCTGGCAAATGAGAGATTCTCCTTGGAGATGAGCTACCTGGGCTTTAGGAAATGGTTATTTGGCTCAGCACAGCACTCTGAGGAGACTCGGAGGTTATCGCACCTCCTCAGGAGCGTTCTTGGTAAAACATTAAGATGAGGTGGTAATTAAAGGTTTGTCTTTTACTATGGGGAAATGCATTATTAAAAATCTTTCCAGCCAGTAGCTACCACTACTTGTTTGGGGAAATTGGTTCGTCAATCCTTTCCAGCCTTAGGATGCCTGAAAACGCTTTGCTTCAGGACAAAGTGAAGGGTACAAATTGAAAGGGGCGTTGTAAGAAAATTAAAAGGGAGTATTATTAATCTCCTGGTTTTTACCTGCGAGGGTCACAGCGTAATAACCAGTTCTCTCTACACCCTTGTCAGTATCAAGGCTGAAAGGTCTGAAAACCATCAGTTGTTTGTTTCCACAGACTCCCTGTATTCAAAATCAGTCAGGTTGTTTTCACACCTGATCTGAAAGGTGTAGTTTTGTTTGTGGAAGCAATGAAAGCTCTGAGCAGGAGCTTTGTGCAACTTCCATTCTAATTCCTGAACACTGGTCCGAGGGAATACTCAGAGGGATACTCGGTGTGGTACAACGTGGGCCTCACGAGCAGTTTACACAAATGAGAAGCCCCTCTCCAATATTTTGATGACTTTTTGCAGCAGAACCGTTTGGATCAGGTGTTGCAAATAGTCCAAAAAACCAGTCCAAAAGCTGCTCCTGCCCCTTACTTTTCGGTCTTGAAGAATATTGCACAGCCATCCACATGCTTCCTCTCCTGCTCAGACATGATTTTGGCACGTGACTTTGGAGAAAAGAACCCGTCGTACCCTCGCTCTTTCAAGGCTGGCAGGAACAGGGTGAAGTATTGCTCGGTTTCCACCTCCTGCAATGGAACACAAACACTTTGGGCTCACAAAGCGAACTCAACCCTTCCTGTGGCTGCATGGCAACCTGTCCCTGCCTTGGCTTGCACTTGGCAGCTCTCATCAAAGAGAAAAGCTTCTGTTTGCACAAGTCACGTCATTTCCTTGATTAGCAGCCTGCTGGACACAGGTTTGCATTCCTGAATATCCTGGCATCACCCCAGAAGGGTAAGTGATAGGTGTATTTTGAATAGCAGATCAGGCTAAAGCTTCTGAGAGACTGATAGATCTCCTGCAGCAATTAATATTTAACCCGGAGAGCCCTTTCACACAAGGGTCTCTCGCTGCTCTGTGACATTACATTTTCTTTGTAGTAACATTTGGTCTCAAGAGGTTTTTAGAGGTTGGTATCTTGAGGTTTTCAGACCAAGGTAACTACTCCCTTCTTGTGCAAGCTTCTTACTGACCAGAACTTGAGCAGTTTAAAGGCAGAAGTATTCTAAACAGCTGCAATAGATTTCTAATAACGCAGCAGGATACACATACCGATCACAATCGATATTTAACTTTGAATGTGAGAGTCCCCTTGCTTTCCAGTGAGGTTATTTTTGAGGCTTGAACTTCTGCACCAAGCAAGAATGGACCAGGAGCAGTGGCACTTGGGGATACAGCAGTCTACGTTCTCCCCTTCTGCATCCAGAAGGAGTATATTTAGGATGCTTACCTGAGAGGCAAAACCCCCAGATCTTCTAATACGAATTATCTACTCATTTAGCTAATTTTATCTCACTTATTTTGTCTCACTCTATAAAACACAAGCCAGGATGTGGACGAGGAGCGGCGCACACAGCTTGTATTGGTAAGCCCCAGAATTTGTTAGCAAGCAGGCAAAGACGGTGTTTATTTCTAAAGGTGGAAGTGAACGTTTCTGATAAAAAGTAGAGTTATTTCCTGCTTACCTGAAGACTGATGATGTCTGCATCGCAGTTGACGATTTCTTCCATGATTCCCTTTTTCCTGTACTCCCAATTGAGCGCCCAAGACGGGCAGTAGCCATAGAGCTGCCGGGTGGCGTATTTATCACACAAGACATTGTAACACATAACTGTGAATGAAGCTAGGAGGGTAGAAAAAAGACAAAAGGGAAAGGTCATCAACCTCTGATGCTAACAAATAAACTTATTCAAGCCAAAGTAGTGCATCTTACGTGGTCTGTTCTGCAGGGCCTACTGAACACAAGTCAGTGTGGTTACTGCACTGAGCGTTTTAAACGAGCAGGAGTGAAAAAGGCGCTGCTGAGGCAGCAGTTACCACATAAGGATAAACTCGTTGCTACCAAAACGAGAGGGCATCATGAGCGGGACAAAGCAAAAAGCAAAGCCAAGCTGCTAAAGAAGCTGTTACCGTGGCAGGACGCCACAGCATCAGAGGGAAATGCTGCCTGGGAAGGCTACATTTGAGGCAGTCTGGTGCCAAAAATGTTTGTGTAATTTTCCTAGCACCTGTACAACATTTTAAAGTTGTATTTCTAACAAGTTCAAGTGGGGAAAGAGGGGCCTGGGTGAGGGCAGGGAAGAGAAAGAGACATGAAGTCAGCAATCAGCAAGCTGTGTTTTTTATACCCACAGTCAAAGAAGATTTCCACTATTTAGTTATTTCAGTTTCCTAACAACAACCAACTGGCTTATTACAGTTTCCACTGTGAAATACCCCACTTGACGCAGTACCCTCTAACGACTTCTGAATTCTGCTTCTGCTTAGCAAGTCTGAACTGAAAAATAAAGCCCAAATCCGTAAAACTCCACCGAGATACTGATCTGTAAGGGACTTGGGAACAGAAATGCAGAACTTAATGTTGTGGTGGCTCACAGGGCTTTTGGCATTTCTCCTGTTTCTTCCTATTTTTTCCTGGCTTGCTACCTTTTATATATATATA